TTTGTACTTTATTTGGCCTCAGTTTTAAACTTTTTTATTCGAGCGTCACTGATGAGTCTTTTGAAGACGAAACGCGAGCCTGGCGTACAGAATTTTATTCCTGGTATCTCTGAAGAGTTTATTGTGAAGACCAGCGAGGTTCGTTTTCTGAATGGGAATTAAATAAGGAATTTATACATTTTGGAAATCAACAAACTGAACATTATAAGGCCATTTTAAACACACAGACAAATAGCAGATAAGAAATACGGTTCTTAAGGAAAACTAGTTCAGCAGTATACTGCTACTGTACTTTGATGAGGTAAATCTGTGGATTTACTTACTTTTGAAAAAATGTTATTCACTGCAGCCAACGGCCGAAATGAATATCAGTTTTTTTTCAGAAGTCAATTACACCACATCTTTCCAAAACAAATTACAGTAAATGTTTTTCAAGTGAATTTGTTGTGTTATTCAAAATCCTATTCATATAGAAAAACCTACTAAAGAAATACCAAATTGTGTTGTATCAAAACCAAAAGGGCTAAAATGAAACAGCCAATACTACATATATAGTCAAGCGATACTTTAATTAACACCAGGAAACCTATGTATGACGGACGGACGGACGGACGGACGAACAGGCGAAAGTTGGAAAGAAGGATCGATGCATAAGCCACCAATCTGTCGAGCATGTTCCCTATATTAATACGGTATCATTTAACAAAAGTCCCTGCACCAGAATTCACAGTATTACAGTTTGCTATGTACACTTTAAAGTTCTAACTTCAAGCTTACCCAGATATTGTCTTAAAGGGTCATTAGCTACGAGATAGATAAAAAAATTAGAATATTATTTTTTTTTGTTCAATCATTAATGAAAGTGATATAGTGTAATTATAATTTTAGCAGCCAATTTGGTTCAATTTTGTCAACATAAGTTAAGAAACATCGCTGATGAATTATTCACTTGCAAGTGAATAATTCGACCTCATTGAATCCGTATTCATGTGACCTTAAATTTAACCCCTTAGCTGGAGATGTGTTACGCATGTATTCATCTATTAAAAGGAAAAGAATGGCAACATTGAAAGTGAAACAAGGATGAACCATTTGGTTAACTGACTCGATCCACAAAAAAATCATTCTTATACAGGTAAAAACGATGATAAACATACTTTTTAACCTGCAACATGAAATCAAACAGACCTAGAAAAATCCAATTGCACATGGTCGAGATCTAGTTCAATCTATATTATGTTTATATCGGGTTAAATGACCGTCAGCAGTCTTCGAAGGTTATCTCGATGGTTAATTAGATGACGTCCAGGCAAAAATACACACGAAATGTTGATACATATTATTGAGTCCATGCATTGTTAATTGTTTATTTTAGACTTTTGTAATTTGGATATACGTTTTAGTATGTTATAAATCAATTATGAGATTGAGTCAAATCGGTGAACACGAATTTGACAGCAAATGTTCCTTTAAGTTATATCTTCATATGTTTGTAATTTATGGAATTTAGAAACCGTGGAAGATATAAGATAAATATTACAAACTTTCTTGATTGTGGACGATTTAGTGACAGACAGTATGTTAACCGCTTGATGTCTTATTGTTTATTTGGTGTTTTTTTTTTATACTTGCTGGCTTATATCCCACATTTATTTTGCTGATTCGTGCTTGATAAACTGCTTGTTCACAATATCAGACACTTTCGAATATTGATTTAAACAAATACATAGAAAGGACATTCTAGTTTAAGTTAATTGATGTTTTGTCTTTAAGATACAAATTAAAACCTTTTATTGTTGAGTTCCCCCCAATACAAAAGTTTATATTAGGATCAATGAATAAATGTATATCTTTAAATATTAATTTTGTTAAGCTTGAAAAAATCTGCTGAGTATATCAATGAGACCCTTTCATATTCAAAATTCACTAGTTGGATTTACATTACATTACTAACTAACGTAAACCTCAGTTGCCGCCACAGTTATACTTTATTCTAATTGCAGCTTCAGGGGGGTACCTGTGATTAATAGATCGGCTAATTTTACTTGTCTATGAGATTCTATTAAAGTGAATTTGTACTTAAATAACTACATACCGAAGTGTAAAGGTAAAAGTTTTTATTTATGATAAATAGTTAAATTTAAACAAAGTAAACACACCTGCATTTAATGACGGTGATAGTATTAATGTCATTTATTGTTTGCTTTCTTAAGTGCTTGTGTATTTCATTTTACATTACCTGGCTATTAATTTGTACATTAAAATTTTGAAATCATCTGTCAAATTTGTACGGGTGATTCAGTGATTGATCATTTCAAGCTCATCCTCGTTATCAGCTAAAATCGTAACACCTGTTTCAGGTAAATTTCTATGTGAATAATGAAGACAGAGCACAGGTGTTCATATTTACGTTAGTTTTCAATTAGACGAGAATTTTGTATCCGTATATGGGACAAATAATTTGTCAATGATAATTTTACCTTTAATGTATAGTTCTTTAGATCTCGTCAGTTTTATATGATATATCTTGATCAATTTCAATTCACAAACTTTACATAATAAACCTATAATTATTTTCTGCATGCTTCATATTCAATTTTGAGTGTCATTAAATAGGTTTGGTACAATCATCTAAATGGGATGAAATAACATATTTGATAAATGAATTTACTGTACAAAAATCATTTTGGTTAAAAAGAAAGAAATTATTTGGAAAAACGGCTAAAACTTTTGATGGGCAACTTTTAACGATTTCCATTTTTTTTTTAGAGTAATCCTTCGAAAAATTGAGATTTTTATTTTGGACTGAATTCATTATAATTACGTTACTGAAAAGTCAGAGAATATAATAGCTTAAATCGTTAATTTTATTGTGCTATCCCAAATCCCACTCGGGTATTGTTTCAACCGTTTTTAAACGAATATATATAGCTGTTAGTTCTGATAATTTCCTCAGCAACATTTACTTTTTATCCACTCTTTATGGCTTTTAGCTCACCTGGCCCGAAGGGCCAAGTGAGCTTTTCTCATCACTTGGCGTCCGTCGTCGTTAACTTTTACAAAAATATTCTCCACTGAAACTACTTGGCCAATTTTAACCAAACTTGGCCACAATCATCATTGGGGTATCTAGTTTAGTCCGATGACCCAGCCTGCCAACCAAGATGACCGACATGGCTAAAAATAGAACATAGGGGTAAAATGTAAGTTTTGTGTATTATTTTGAAAACCGTTATAAATGGAGAAAATTTGACAGGGCAGAAATGTTCAGAATGTTGAGCTCTATCAATTATTCACATACGTCAAAACTGTCAGACGACTTCTTATAGGATTTACTGCCCGTAAATGACAAATTTTACCAATTTATTTTTCATTTTTGCCTATTATCTTGAAAACTATAATAGATAGAGAGAAACTTTAAGCTACAAAAATGACCAGCAGGAAAAGTTCTACAAATATGTATGTATGGGGCCAGCTGAGGACCACCTCCGGGTGCGGGATTTTCTCGCTGCATTGAAGACCCATTGGTGGGCGTCGGCTGTTGTCTGCTCTTTGGTCGGGTTGTTGTCTCTTTGACATATTCCCGATTTCCATTCTCAATTTTATTGTCGAAATCTTCAGTCGACTCCTTATTAGAGGTATCGCCCTTTGATGACGAGTTTTACCAATTATTTGCGTTTTTCCCTTATATCTTAAAAAGATTTATTATAGATAGATAGAAACTTAAATAAGCGAAAATGATCAGCAAGACAAGATCTACAATTAAGACTGTATAGAGGAAATCGTTCAACGACACCTTATTGGAGTTATTGATCTTTAACGACGATTTTTACAATTTCTTTTAGTTTTGACTTGTATGATAAAAATTATAATAGATAACTTAGACACTTTAAATCACAAAAATTATCAGCAAAGCAAGATCTACTAACAAGTCAAATTTTGTCGATATAGTTAGTTAGCACACTGTCACTCTATATGAGGGATTGCCCTTAAAAGAGGATTTTTTTTATCCTCTTTTGTGTTTTGAGCAAAAACTAAAGAAGATAGAAAGAAACTAAACAGAATAAATGATCAGCAATACAAGATGAACAAAACAGAGATTTTTGTCATGAATGCTATTCTCGTTTACAATGTTGGAGAGTGTCCTTTGTTGAATATGCACATAGACCAATGTGAGCGACACATGCTCTTTAGAACCTCTAGTTTTTTGTTCTTGAAATTGCGGAGAGTTTTACCTGGTATATGGTACCCCTACAGAATAAACTGTTATGTATTATTTTGTGACTTAAGTATGGTGGGGTGCCATATGAAACTCTTGTCGAAATTTGAGTGTCTTGCTTCATCTTAATTTGAAGTCTGTATTTTTGCATGTAGTGTCTTGTGGACTTGTTTGTCTTTTCGTCGATTTTCATTTTATTTTATTTTTTTGCTATGGCGTTGTTAGTTTCTCTTTAACTTATGACTTACTATTGTTCCCTTGATACCTTCCACCTCTTCTTAAATTATGGTTAACACTTCTTTCACGAAGGTTAAAAACCTATTAAGTTCGTTCTTTTCCAGAGTTGACATCGTGATTTGTTTACAACGTAAACAATAGAGAGAAAATCGCGTTTCAGTAATAACAGTAAAGAATCATAGTGTTAAATGTTCAATTATGACAAAAGGGTCAATGTGGATAGTATTGAATATAAATAAACTCATCATAGATACCAGGGTTAAAGTTTTGTACGCCAGACGCGCGTTTCGCATTCAAAACACTCACCAGTTACGCTTGAATCAAAAAAGTTAAAAAGGCCATGACGTATGAAAGAAAGAAGAAATTTCGAAACATTGGGTTGATTTTAAGGTCCATGAAATCCACCTCTCCTCAACCAATATACGGCATTTGTTGAACAGGTTTTAGCTTGATGCAGCCGACCTTACCATAAAGTGTGTGTAAGCTATTTTTCTAAATACTCTTGACTTCTGCATATTTAAATTTTGTTATATTTTATTTTAAGGTAACGGAGGATCGTTTTGTGACATGCAGTGAAGATGGTACCATTAGAATATGGGATCTATTTGACAGTCGACGTCCTGGAATTAAGTTATAGAAATCTTGGAATATCAAAGCAGATTATTTGAAAGAAACGATAACAGTTTGAAACTTTTCAAATTATCTTATTTTATTTACACACCTTGTCCAATCGACAGCTTAAGCGATTGTACTTTCTCGTTTGTCGTCTGTTAAAAGTATACTCTGAAATCACTAGACCACATGCGATCAAACGTAGCATCAAACATCGTAAGAGAGTCGGTTTCAATGATTATAACCACGCGGAAAGACCAACATGATGGCTATGATGCTAGATCATAGTATCAAAACACTAAAATGAACAACGGTTACAACACAGTGAAAATAAAATACAGAAAAATAATGTATTTTTAAGGCAAACACTGTAAACCTCAGATGATTTGGTGAACAATACTGTAAAAAGTAGATAGTTTACTCATAAGTTTAAATTCACTCGACGATGACTGAAAATGTTACAAAAATTCAAAATTTTTATTTAAAAAACAGACTTTAATGGTAATTTTTTTATCACAATTGCTGTAAATTTTAGCTGATATTCTAGTGCAGTGTACCGTTTAAAAAAAATAGTTGCAGAGTAACTGAAATTTCAATTAAGTCAATATACTTAAGATGTAGTTATTGTCCTCGGAACCGAAAATTTCATGAACATTACAATGTTTGTTCTACTGTCAGCACTTCAACTGGTCTTTAATTGAATTAACTTTGCTGTGAAGAAGTCATTTGCAAGTTTCGTTGTTGTTGGTGTACAAACAACTTGTTTCTAGAGATATAGAGGAGGATTTAGTTTAAGTCCACTAACAGTTCTACCTAGTTAATTCTTAGTTGAGACATAATATTAATTATTTGCATTGAATATCAGATAAGCAAAGTATCCGGGTTTCAGAAGATTCAGTTGTGATTTCCCTTGACTGTGGCATTGCTTTAAAAAGTACATCCGAATTTTATCTGAAACACTTCATAACCTATTTTGTGGTTACCCTCACGACAGTATTTTACGGTATGTGGGTTGCTGATTATGAATTTAAATAGGAAAGTCAGGATACAAGCATTCTGTCTTTTCTGTTTCATTCAAATTTCACAAATTTTGATAACTATTTACAAAATTTATAAACCTGAATGTTTGACTGAAATTCCTAGTGCAGACATTCCTTTACGAGATTATTGATTTTTTTTTCTACTTTTACACAAAAATAGATTTTATGCAGTTTTTAACTGATAGAACATTGTTTCGTTTTGTATTCATTTTATTGAGATGTATATTAATTTATTTCAAGTATGATGCACTTAATGGTACCGATTTAGAAACCATAAAATGATTATTATGTTTTAAACGTATTTGAATTTGCACAATTTTATTTATTTATTTATAAGAATTTATTTGCTATGTTTATTACTAATATTAACTGGTTGTTTTTGTGATAACAGGGTGTTTTATGATAAACAGGAAATGAAAACGCTAAATGTATTTTTATTTTCTTGAATTTAATGCTGTTTCTCATATATTACTTATTACACAGTTTATCGACTTCAATTTGGTTTTAAAAATTTGACAGTCAGGTAATTATGATATGTCCGAAAATGAATGCCTGCCCCACTGCAAGTTGCCCAGTTGTACACTTTACAGCTCCTGTATTCATGAAATGTCTAACCTAAATTTCAAATACATTTGTACCTTACTTTTTTACCTGACTGCACGTTTAGGTTTATTATCAAGACTAATATACATTGTAGAACATCAAATTCCTTTGAACAGTTCTAGTCCTTGTGGTGGTGTTATTGCACGTTGTTAACAGTTTGATTGCAATATAGATTACATATTATTTGTTTACAAGCTTTGTAAGATTAGTTTTGTTTTGATACCTTTCTATTACATAATTTTTATTATTATTTGTACTTGTTGTTTTCTTTAGAAAAAATGGAACTCAAAATAAAAACTTAAAAGATTCAAAGCACAAAAACAGAACAGCAGGCAATCAACAAATTTTGTCCCCTTTCAGTTTAACTGACTAAAATGTCAAGTTAAAAAATATGTCTATTTGGAATACTGTATTTACTGAGTTAGAATTTTCTGTTTATTATAAGTTAAATTCGAACACAATCATACCAATCATACACAGGTTTGACTATCTATTGACACTGATGATACCATTTCACACGTAAGACACTAGAACTAGAGTCCACCAAATCATAAATAAACACAGCGCAAACTAGCTAAGCAGTTGAAACATTATTTATGTAAAAATTACATGATCAATGAAATGAAAAATTATTCAAATGTAATGTATAACGATCAAAGCAGTGCAGATACACTGGTTACTGGATGAATGATGTCTTCAGTGATCTCAGTATTGATGCAAGCAGAGATATCTCTCAATCATGATTAACATAGTGCACTGAAACCAAGAGATTTTTCCACTGAAATACTTTATTAAAAAGACAATGGCCTGTGTCTTTCGTATTCTTCAGTCTTGATCCAACAAAACATTTAGCGACCTTTTTACTGTATACTGATCTGTTTTAGTTCTGATTGTAACTCTTTCTTTTTTTATAGGACAATACAAACCAGACTATATCAGTATTGTAAATCTTGTTTTTTTTTTGTTTTTTTTTTTATCTAATTGCAAAGTTAATGATTATCTCATTTGGCAGGTACTAGACAGCTAGTACATCCAGGGAAACAATTTGTCGCTCTAGTTTTGTCTTTGTCGTAAAACCAAACGTGGAAATCAAAAGCAAATCTTGTCTAGTTGAACCAGGACCAATATAGATAAATGTATTTATGTATTAGTCCCAGTTTGAGCCAATCTCTGGCTCTTTGTTAGCACTCCTGCACATGAAGATGATGACTTGGTAAGAACTAAAACAATATTAGCAATGCCCATGACCCTCGAAAAAAATAAGTTTGCCCAGCAACAGTTGAAAATGAATATTCCGTCCGCAAACAATCCTCACGTCCCCCAGCCCCACCCCCACCCACCTTGAAACCAAATGGTCGTCCCTTTAACTGTTAATTACACTTCATTTAAATAAAATAAGAAATATGTCGGAATAACATATAAAAAAGAAGCAATTTAAATAAGTAGCGTGTATATTCCTTTTCAAAAGTTGAAAAGAGAGCTTCTAACATGTGCTTTGAATAAAACATTTGTCAAGAAATGAATTACATGTATGGATGTTCAAGTCAGATTGACTGGCTCACAGTCCTGACGATGCTTTGAATTTATGTTTTGCCAGTGGCGTATACCTTATCAATAAGATGGAACTAAAGAAACAAAGCTTAAAAGAAATGGAAAATTCGCAATGTAATAGATTCTGGATTGTACTAGTAGGATCTGGGATTTTACTTAACACTATAGTTAGTGTGACTGGATTCTACTGGATTTTTTTGTATTATTTTTATGCCCCCGCGGTATCGGAGGGGGCATTAAGTGTTACCCTTGTCCGTCCCGTTCCGTCCCGTCCGTACGTCCCCAAAATTGGTTTCCGTTCTCTAACTTTAGTTTGCCTCAACCAAATGTTATAAAACTTATACACAATGCTTATTACCACAAAACACAGATCAAGTTCGAAATTGGTAGGCGTCACTTTTACCGTTCATGAGTTATGCCCCTTTATAAACATAAAAATTGCTGAATTTTTTGTTTCCGTTCCCTTACTTTAGTTTGCCTCAAAACCAAATGTTATAAAACTTATACACAATGCTTATTACCACAAAATAAAGATCGTTCGAAATTGGGTGGCGTCATTTTTACCGTTCATGTGTTATGCCCCTTTGTAAACATAAAAATTGCAGAATTTTTCGTTTCCGTGCTCTAACTTTAGTTTTCCTCGACCAAATGTTATGAAACTTATACACAATGCTTATAATCACAAAATAAAGATCAAGTTCGAAATTGGGTGGCGTCATTTTTACCGTTCATGTGTTATGCCCCTTTGTAAACATAAAAATTGCAGAATTTTTCGTTTCCGTGCTCTAACTTTAGTTTGCCTTGACCAAATGTTATGAAACTTATACACAATGCTTATTGCCACAAAATAAAGATCAAGTTCGAAATTGGTAGGCGTCACTTTTACCGTTCATGAGTTATGCCCCTTTATAAACATAAAAATTGCTGATTTTTTTGTTTCCGTTCCCTTACTTTAGTTTGCCTCAAAACCAAATGTTATAAAACTTATACACAATGCTTATTACCACAAAATAAAGATCAAGTTCGAAATTGGGTGGCGTCATTTTTACCGTTCATGTGTTATGCCCCTTTGTAAACATAAAAATTGCAGAATTTTTCGTTTCCGTGCTCTAACTTTGGTTTGCCTCGACCAAATGTTATGAAACTTATACACAATGCTTATAATCACAAAACGGTCTTAACTACGTGAATCATAAATGATAATAAAATGCCGCTATCTATATTTTATTAAAAACAAATTCTGGTAAAATACATAAAATTCGTGAAAAAAATCTAATTGATAATAAGATTTGCTAATACTTTGTTTATTGCATTTTGATGAGCAAACATTATTGGCTTCACAACATAAACAACAATTTTTTTTCAAACACAGTTGCAGACAGAAACCAACTGACAATTGTCATCAGTTTCTTGGATGTTTTTTCATCAAATGCTTCAATGGAACTAAGTTCAGAGAAAGAGATTTTGCAAAAATTAACAAGATCGTCTGCTGAAATATCTTTTTGAAACATTAGTCATTTTGATAACAAAATTTGCATAGTAGCAAACTTGTTATAATTTTCTTTACAAGGGATGTCAAAACTAAATTGTCAATTTCACAAAAAGTTGTACTAGTTTCCTGGTGTTTTCTTTATCATTGTGTTTGCATTTTGCTCTTTCATATGTTTAAACAAACATTCATCCAAACACATAATTTCGGTTTATATCTAAACGGCTTCAACTTTTTATTTCTGTCATACTGTTTTGATAACTTGTTAGCAAACTGACAATTTCGTATAAAACATCTTTTAGTTGGTCCATGTTTAACCCCGTTTACTCATAAAAAAATGTTCAGATCAAAATGAGCCCTATCATGACGATTACTGCTTGTGCTTTGAGGCAGACTAAATGATGATAACAAGAAAGAGGGAGAGGCAGCGCTTTATATTATTGTTGAAGACAATATAGAAATATTTCGCATGTTTTGGTTAATTTTTGTATTAAAAGACATCATTAACATCAATAAATGAATTTGTATCTGGTAGATAATATAGAGAAATACTTCCAATAAAATTTTGGATTTGAAATGTCCTTATAGTTACTCCAAATTTGCCAAAAATCTGTCAAAATTAATTTTTTAACCATCTGCAGGTATCTATAATTTGATTAAGTGTACGGAAATACATGTGCACTAAAGTGTTGTTAAAACCTAAACGCGCATCTGGCGTACTAAATTATAGCCTGGTATTGTATGATGAGGTTTATCCTTTTTGCAGATATTTCGCAATTAAATTTCTCTTAAACATTCCCCGTTTCCATTCTCAATTCTACTTTATATTGGAAGGTTTGGAGTCGGAATATCTCATCAGCTTTTAATTTCTTATTGACTTTTCATTGTCAAAGGCATCAAACTGGAAGGATTTGTAGAGATGAACAACATCCAAGCCATGTTCAAGAAATTAATTTTTGGAGTATCTATAGATATCTATAATTTTACCAATTTAATGTTTGGAAATACATGCACACTGCGTTGTGAAATTAATTCAGGGGAAATTGGTCACACCTCTTTTCTTTTTGATTTGGTCAAGTTTTTGACTATTAAGCTTATTTCATTATGAAGTATATAAAAAGTATTGACTATTATCATTTTGTCTTTTTTTAAAGTAATCATCAAGTACAATCAAGGATCTTCCTAGTACAAATCTGGATGTCCCGTTTTCTACGTTGTTCTAGGAGGATTCTGGATCCTATTGAATTCCCATTAGTACTGCAGCAAATATGTACATGTATATAATAATAATAGTATTAAGAGCATACATGTAAAGCGAACAATTTATTGGGTATTATACAAACTATAGGTTATAGATTAAAGAAAAAAAAGAAGAAGCAAAGATTGAGAAATGATATTCTATGATGATGACTTGTTTTGATGATGATGTCGACGATGGTGATGGTTCGTGCTCCTGTCAATAACACTTTATAAAGGTACAAGAAACCTGTTTGGCCTTTTAATAAAGTCTTGAAAATATTTTAAATTCGAATGTTTTGTTCATTCCAAAATTTTTCGGAAAACCAATGAAGATTTTTGAATAAAGATTGTTTACATGTGGTGAGCTATTTATTTTTGACAAACGAAAAAAAAAAGAAATTATGAACATCCTCAATATCTTACCCTTATTCACCAAAAAATATCAGATGTATTTAATTTCATAAATATATTGAAAAAAAGAAAATTTAAAATATGCCCACTTTTTACACCACCCTTAATGTTTATTATCAAGAACTCTATTTACAATTTTGTTTTCATATTTTCTAGATAATAAATGATGACCAATTGCTTTATAATATACATCTGATAGACTAACGGCCTGATTTATGTATACAAAACAATGAACGAAAAACAAATATGATATACAACAACAAACGACAACCACTGAGTAACAGGTTTCTGACTTGGGACAGGCACATACATAATGTGGCTATGTTTTTTTTCAATTCTTTCTTAAATTTAGATATAGAGTCGACGTTACGAATTTTTGGACCAAGCTTATTCCATTCTGGTATATATTTGAATATGTACTTAATAATAACCTTTATTTACCAAAGTCATAACAACTATAGACATAAAACATATATGAACTACACACAGTATACATAGCTAACAGAAGGTAGTGTGAAACATATTACAACATGTTAGATCTTAATTTTTGTGCACGAAAT